GGATTTTATAATCATTTTCTCAAAAAAGTCAGTTTAAAAAAAAAATGGGCCAAAATCCAAAATTTTCAAAAAACCGAGATAGCCATTTGATAGACAAAGTAGAATTACGTATACCCTTTTTTGTTACGTCTTGATTCCTTTAAAAATGAAGATGTTAGCGGCGTTTGAAATTTTGCCGTTTTTGAGGCGAAAATGGCGAACATGACGTCACTAAAACGTCAATTTCTCAAAAATTTTCCGACGGATTTCGCTCAAATTTTCAGGGAACGTGTCAAATTGATGTAAAAAAGGTACTGAAAGTTTGGCGGCGCTGCGCGCCGCCGTTTTTGAGATATTGCAAAAATTCGCGAGGGGGGGTAAAATTTACCCCCCAGCCCCGCGCGGGTTAATTTAAAGAAACCTGAGGAAATCTTAAAACGAACGTTCTGCTATCCATGAGAGGAGTCCTTGAATCATTCCTATGTGGCACTGCTTAGCTAATCTGTAGAAAAGGTCGATCTATGCCTATTAATCAACAGCCTAGGTTGCTGACACAATTGTTCTCAGTTCCAGCGAGAAGCTGGGTGCGGTTACTGTCACCGTTTGCTGGCAGCTGGGGTGGAAGCAGCAGCCCGGCGCCGAGGTCTCATGACCTCCGAGAACGTCACCACACCCGGCGCGGCCGGCGAGCCGGGCAGCTCCAGCACGGCGCCGCCAACAGAGCAGCCTGACGACGGCCCGGGGGCGCTCTCGGACGTGTGTCGGGCGGCGGTGACGGCAGCGCTGGCCAACTGCTCGGCGCCGGAGCCCGGCCTGTTGCCCGTCTGTCCCTCCTCGGAGGCCAGTCGGACAGCCTCCATCCTGGCCGCCCTCAGCCTTCTGCTGCTGGTCCTCTCGATGGCGTTCGGCGTGGGGTTCAACATGCTCGCCGTATTGACGCTGTCCGGCTTCCGCCATCTCCGGACCCTGTGCAATCGACTGGTGCTCTACATCTGCATCTACGACACGGGAATGTCCATCATCTATCCGCTGCTGCATCTGATGCACGCCGTGAAACCATACCACGGCCTCAGGACTACCACCGCAAGCACCTTGTACACGTTCAACTGCGTGTCGCGCCGCTTCATCGTCGAGCTCTGCTTCAACATCAAGATGAGCTTCATCGTGACGATCGCGCTGCTGCGCTACCTCTACGTTTGCCGGAACAGGGAGCTGCAGACGACGCCGTCCGACACGCTGATGGCCGTGCTGCCGGGGGCCGTGCTCAGTGTCTGTCTGACGGCCATCACGCAGCTGCAGCTGACCAACTACTGCTCGCACGCCTACGCCGTCACCGCCGACGGCTGGTTCATCGTCTCCCGGCCATACACCTTCAGCCCCCATCATTCTCCGTGCCTCAACATCGTGTGCACGACGATCGCCCTCAGTTGCCTGGCTACAGTGGCGTTCTCGTATGGTTCTATTGCCGTCAGTGCTGCCAGATTTGGAGGATTTCCGCAAATCTGGAGGATTTTGAACTCTATTTGCGGACAAATTTCGCTTTTGGAGGATTTTTGATTCTGGAGGAAAATCTGGAGGATTTGTCGCCCGATTATTATATTCAATTTCATGGAAAAATATAACACATGCAATACTAAAAAGGCATTTTCCTGCCCAGCGTCACCCTACCCGTTAGGATATATCACGCCTCACCGTGAGACTGCAGAATGTCTCAGTCTGTAGCTATATCTACGAGGGTCGAGGGTACCAAACTACTGGCTGTCTAAGGGGGACATTTGGGGCAAATGCCCCCGGCCCCCCTGCAGCGCCCGAAATCGACGAAAATATTCGTTTTTTTATAATAGGAAAACTAAACAGCTTTTATAAGAAAAGGTATCTTTTAAACTGCACAGCAGTGCGAAAGGATTCGAAATCCGATGAGTTTTTAGAATTTGGTGAAACTTTTTTGGGGGTATAGCCCCCCGCAGCGTCCAAGACCGCCTTTCTATATCTACCAATAGGATTTGGAGGAATCTGGAGGATTTTTTGTAACTGATCTGGAGGATTACAGCCTTCCCCATCTGGCAGCACTGATTGCCGTGAAGGCGGTGAAAACTCGGCTGCGGATTCGTCGCACACTCCGTCTTCAGGCGCAGGCAAGGCGGGCGATCAGCGCAGCGTCAGCAGCCTCAAGGCAAGGCGCAGAAGCGGCTGGACCTAAACCGGCTAAACCAATGTGTACAACCCATTGTGCATAAAACAAACGCGAAACGGACAATGCCGCAGAAACGTCTTTTATGTCGAATGTCGCCAGGAACTGCGACACCGGCTGTGAATCAGCTGGAGGCGATTCTGATGAGCTGGAGAACGTGTCTCATGTAGAGCTTCACACACAGCTAGACTGTACAACGCGTCATACTGAGCGTGGTGCGGGTGCCAACAGAAACGCTGGAGATGAAGACTTACGGGGAGAGGACACAAGTGGTACGATCAGCTATCCCGCTCCCAGTAACCATATCGAAGAAAGCTGCCCAAAAATTACTGTTACGACCGAAATCGCCGTCCATGATTCTGCACCAAACATCGATAAGCAAACTTCCCGTTCAACAGGGTCACTGGAACTACCTGAAGTGCAAGGCCCTCCTAGAGATGGAAATGCATCAGAAAAGGAAACAATGACGGCATTATCTTCAGGCGAGCATTCACAGGGTGACACTGCAGAAGACTCATACGAATACGACACATCAAAATCTGAGAGACGTGAGTCTTTAGTCAAAAGCCTCGATGAAGGCGTCGATGACGTCGAGGAGGGCGCTGATAACATAAAGGAATCCGAAACACTCGAAGCGTTGAATTGCATGGAATTGACTGGCTATCCGAAGGAAAACGAAGGAAGTGATGATATAAACTGCATTGAGCTCTCAACATGTCCACATCAGCCCACGAATGGTTCTAGGGACACTGCAACAGCCAGCAATGTAACCCAATCGCTACCGCCGAGGCCAGGTGGCACCAAACCACCCGGTGGCTCCAATTCGGACGAAATAATCACCGCTGAGAGACCAGCAACACGCCAAGCATGGACGACCATCAGCAACATGACATCGGCCGCCCATCATTTAGTGGTTGAAGACCTGTACCTACCTCCGCCAACAGCCCCTGAGTCCCTCAGCGCTGCTGGCCGTTCCCCCCACGGTGCCTCCTGGGGCGACCCGCCGACCGCGTCACGGCGAGTCGCCGACGACGGTGGCGGCGCCGCGCGTCCGTCCGCCGCGCTACGACGTGCTGTCGACAGTGGCGCTGGTGGCGCACCTGGCGCTGTTCCTGTTCAGCTTCCTGCTGCCGATCCTGCTGGTGACGCACCGGCGCGGCCAGCCCAGCTGCGTGGAGATGCCGGACGCGCACGAGCTCCGTGACGTGCTGGTGGTGCTGATGGTGTTCGTGCAGACCAGCCTGCTCACACCCGTGGTGCTCCTCTTCAGCCAGGCGTTCCGAGATGCGGCCAACATCCAGCTAGCGCGCATCGCCGCGCGTTTCTTCTGCGGGCGCTGAGCCACATTGTCTGCACAAAATATGCAGTCTGCAACTCTATGAAGGGCACCAAATATAAATAACCCTCCAAAAGACCCTTCCAAAAGACCAGGGCTGCGGAGTCGATGGATTTTCGGCGACTCCGACTCCGACTCCGACTCCGGCTTTCAAAAACCAGCTCCGACTCCGACTCCGACTCCGGGCAGCATTGTCGACTCCGACCGACTCCAACTCCCGACTCCGACTCCGCAGACCTAGCAGGGCTGCGGAGTCGACAGATTTTCGGTGACTCCGACTCCGACTCCTGCTCGGGTTTCTGAAATCGACTCCGACTCCGACTCCGACTCCGGTCACAACTGTCGACTCCGACCGACTCCGACTCCGACTCCGACTCCGACTCCGCAGCCCTGCAAAAGACCCTCCCAAAAGACCCTCCTGCTAGCCCAGAGGACACGTTGCCCGACTGGTGGCTCATAGGCGGTGGCCGGACTGAACACCCTACCGGCGTGGTGGACCAGTCGGGGAGAATTCGATCTCGATCCGTGGGTCCGTATCTGTGATATCCAACTAAGGTGGGCGCCGGGCGGATGTTGGAAATGGGAATCCAATGGGCGAGCCTCTTGAAAATGTTAATTCTTCAGTTTTTCGTCTGGAAGCTACATGGTTGACGTTAGGTCAAATCTTGATAATTTTTTTTGGAAAGAGCCTTAAAAGGGCTATCGAATACGTTGTGCTGTATCTCCATTCGTTCCTGAATTATGTGCGGCTTTGCCGAAAACTGTTGAAAAGGGATCGAAATTTGATCTTTGATGAGTCCCTGGTAGGAACCTGACCTTGAGCGACCTGAAATTTTCACATTGGTAGAATAGGTGTGTCAAGAATGATGTTCCTCTCCACAAACTTTTTTTATTATCTATGGACTGCGAAAAGCACCACGGTTCGATACACCCGGCCCCGCGTAGTTAAATTCAAATTCGTATACGATGCCAGTTTCACGGACTTCACTGCAAAGAATTTATTACGTCATCAGTTCGAGAGTCAAGGGCCCTGTTTCACCGGTGATAGCAGCAAGCTGCTATCACGTTTCGCGAGCTGACGTCATGTCGTGACGCCATACTGTTGTCGTAATGGGTAGTTCCGGCGCACGATTGCCGCGACCTTGGCGGCGGCATTAAGTGACGTATGAGCCTAAAAGTAAGAGTTTACGCAGTCATGATAGTATATATATTTTTGATATATATTTTTTCAATATGATGTATTTAAAAGAAGTTGGGTTTAGGAAAAATTTGGACATTAACTTCGAACATTTAGCTGATGACGTAAAACAATATTGCGGCAATCGTGCGCCAGAATTGCCCCTTACGTCAGCAGTATGACGTCATCACATTACGTCAGCTCGCGCAATTTGATAGTAACGTGCTGCTATCACCGGTGAAACAGGGCCAAGGACCAAGGTATTTTTATGCTTAGTATATGAGTTATGACTAGCCTTGAGAACTGCTGTCTGTTTTGTTTTTGTGTGTGTTGTGTGGGGGAAGTGTGTGGCTCTCGTTTTCCTTTGTTCGTGCCTCGTGGTGAATCGAGTCATCTTGCATTTGGAAAACGTTAAGAAAACTGTGTATGTACAAATTATTTCTATCGAATTGTGTGTTTCAACTTTCAATCGCCAGACAAGAGTTTTTTTTTATTGCAATTGAGGTTTATCGAAGCAAGCTAAAGTCGTCGACACCACCGTGATTCAAAGCCCCATCATAGAAAGTAAACAATGAAATTGAAGACATACCATAGGGCCTTGGACATAGTTTGAGCTGGCTTTCCTTTGTACAGTAGGTTTTTCAACAACTCCATTTCAGTTAGCGACATTACAGGGAAATGATCAAGACCTTGACCACTCAAGAAGTTGATTCGTGATATCGCAGGCCATTCATTGAGAAATGAAATGAAAACTTGCATTGAGAAACTGACACTAGTGATCTGAGCGTCCCTTTGGCTTCATGTTAGAAATTATAATTTTGTGCACATTTTACGAACCAAAATCAAATTTGAACACTTTGAAATAGAAGTGAATGCCTGGGGAAATGCACATTGCACAGTTGCCACAAAAATGATAATAGAATAAGCTTCTTTGGTGTAACGTGTAGAGCGTCTAGTTATTACCGATGCTCATGAAAATAGGTTGCTGTAGCATAGCATCACTTCACCCATGGCATATGTGAAATCAGGAACACAAACATTGGCAAAAATAACCAAATTTGGTCGGATGGCAACTTTTTGTCTTATTTATGTTGATCGACAATTGTTGAGAGTTTGTTGCTGTCCTTTTTCTGTAGTGCACATCATTTGTAATCATGCTGCAACATCATTTTTAAGCCAGGTCTCTCATCCTTTGCTGCTTAAAAGAAATATACCACCTTCCTGGAATCTGTTTTTTTTTTCTAAAGTTTTATGATTTTTATGCTCAAGATAATAAGAAAGAAAGTTAATATATACAAAAGGAAATTCTGTCTATTTTCATATAGGAAGAACTATATTTCACCTAAACAGTGGTGATGATAGGTATAGCTTGTTATGTGTTAATCAATCATGTTGCATAGTTTAAAACCAGCTGCATGCTGATTGGCTGATGCAGCAAGCCTCTGTGACTGGTGACAGGTGGCTGCATTCTTGGCAGTTGGCATTCCTCTACAAGTGACTCATTCCTGTACAAACAAGGCACCCTTTTTGGAATGAGAAATTGAATATCTTTGCCTAGGGTGATCATTGGGGAGTAAAAGCTCCTGATTTGTGCTTGTCCCAGCTCAAGCTACAAAACTACTATTCCAGCTCAAGTCCCATGTTAAAGTTGCATTTTTTTTTTTTTTTTTTACTCCAATTAGAAAGCTGCATAGTTGAAATCATAAGCAATGATAGCCAAACAATGTTTTCTTAGTGTGCTTGCCTGTGTCATTTGTTTTGAAGGTTAACCTTGTAGCTAACATCCCCTGTGAAATTTTTTCCTTGCATGCTGAATGAGACTGTAACCAAATGTTGAATCATTGACAAGCTTCATTGGCATAGTGCATATAGTTCGGAGTGGTAAAGTACACTCACACCTGTTTAGTCATTGCCACACATTTTTTTGTTACATTGCATGGGATCAATAGTAAGGCCTACACGAAATACCAGTTTTGTTTTGTGATATTATTTTGCTGACTCATTATTTATTTGCTATTCCATTTCCTTCTTATACAAAGGCTGTATTAATTGCAGGTGATTGTTAAAGTTCTCAAAATAGGAACCAGGATGTCTTCTATAAGGAAGGCAACCCATGCAGGAAGCTGGTACTCAAACTCAGGTAAGTGAGTTCTTCTCACAAAATGTTAGCCTCTGCCATTCTAACTGACTCAGGATGTTTCAATGAACTAAACTCATGGGCGCAAAATGACCTTAGCAGTGGGCGCGCCCCAAGGCCCCCAATTAACAAACAAATGAACTAAATGTAGATGGCATTGCCCAGGCCCAATGCTAAATGTTCATTGTTCAACCTTTGCATCTTCTTCAGTCTAATTTGCTGCTAGTTTGTAAGCCAACACTAATGATACAATTTTGGTGGAGGGATGCAGATGGCAGTCAGTGCAGCTCAGAGAAACTGTAAGTTAACGGCACCATATCTGTCACAGAGCGGGAGCTGGGTGGCCAGCTGGAGCGGTGGCTGGATGCCGCCGAACTCTCCCACGGACCGGCACGGGCCATCATCGCGCCGTGAGTACAGAGTAGAACAGAATACCTGCGCCGCCGTGAGCACAGAGTACGTGCGGCGGTGGGAGGGGAGTACCTACAGGGTGCGTGCAGCGTGACCCCGCACCCCTGGCGGGGTGCGGCAGGGGTGCGGGGTCACGGTCGGGCGCGATGGGTAGCTGTGTCGGGCGGGAGGGGTTCGCCTGTGCTTGGCACCTTTGCTGCTGCTTCCATCTCTCGTTGTCGTAGGTATTCGTATTTCGTGACGTTTTGGTACTTCGTGCTCAGCCGTTACCGAGGTCCTGGATCAGCTTCCCCTCCGGACTGCTGAGCTGACCCTCCACCCCTCCCCCGTCGGCAGGCACGCCGGCTACTCGTACTGCGGCGCGTGCGGCGCGTTCGCCTACCGACAGGTCTCGCCCATCTGCGTGAAACGGGTGTTCATTCTGGGCCCGTCGCATCACGTGCGTCTGGCCGGCTGCGCACTCTCCTCCACGCTCAAGTACAGCACGCCGCTGTACGACCTTACTATTGACCAGGTACGGCAGCCTTACATGCACGGGAGGGGACTGAGGACTGACCTGGTCATAGACCAGGCAGCTTTACAGGCACGGGAGTCGGGAGTGACAGCTTTACCCGACGATAAATCAGGCACGGCGGAGTGCGGCAGCTTGACGTGTTCGCCGATAAATAAGCGGATTTTAATCACACGGAATAACATACAGATGCAAAACTGAATAATCTTACATCCACGGCACTGAAGGGTCTCAGTTACCCTGGCATTAGATGGAGTATAATCAAAGCCAACGTGTAACTATAGCGATAAGTCGCTTAGCCATGCCTGCAGTATGTTGAGCTCACTAGGTTACATTGGTTTGTAGGAACCAGGGTTCCGTGGTCGGATTCGAAGTCGACAAATTCTTACCGATTTCGACTTCGGAGCTGAATTGAGCATTGCACGGGTAAAAGTCATGCGCCACACACTGTTTGCTTGAGAATATTACACTCGTTGACCTTTACTAGACAGATATTGTCGAAGCTCAAGTCCCTGTTTTTGCACCAGCGTTTTAAGCGAGAAAAGGCTGCGCCAGACCCAGCTGCCATAAGTAATTAGTTAACTTTGCTTTTTTATGAACAACGTTTGCAATGTAAAGCCTTGGAACGCGCAAGGGATTGTTTCAGGCGAGGTGAAAAGCTCTGACATGAAGTTTACGGTCATGATATGGACTTTAACCGAGATGGGCGGTGTCGGAGTTGGAGTCGGAGTCGGGAGTCCAAGTTGGAGTCGGAGTTGGGATCAGAGTCGGAATTGGAGTCGATCAAGAAAAATCTATCGACCCTGCAGCCCTGTTACTAGGGTCATAGGTGACTTGCGTTACTTCTCTGATATCATTGTTGAAACATTTCACATCTCGGTTCTTTATTTAGCTTTATTTAGTCTTTGCCTAAATTATCGCTCGTTTTGCATGACGGAATTTATATCACTAACGAGCTGATGCGTATTCAAGTTGTTTCCACCGTTAAAAAAACGACCCGTCGTTTTGGTTTTAAAGCAACGTTTCAAGGATATTTGTTCACCTACGACCCCACCCAATGCATACCAATCTAACTATGCGCTCATTGACAGGGGATCTACGATCAGCTGTACTCGACGGAGCAGTTCGAGCGGATGAGTCTCTCCACGGACGAGGACGAGCACAGTATCGAGATGCACCTGCCCTACATCGCCAAAGTCATGGAAGAGTACGTTCATCGCTTATCGACATGGGAAACTGCAGGCCATTTTATGGTTTTCGATTGGTTTCAATTTCAAGCATGCTAATGCCGCCGATGGCCAATCATTGTTCGCTCTTCAATCAGCTGTGTCTGCATTTGATGACTGTGCCCCGTCTGATGACTTTGTGTAAACGGTCTAATGTGTCTGTGTTTGTGTGTTGCCGGTGTGATGTTTATGTTTGTGTGTGACCGTTGTGGTGTGTCTGTCTTTGCGTGACCAGTTTGATGTGTCTGTGGCTTGGTGTGACCTGGCTGTGTCTCTTTATTCCCAGTTTCCGCGGTCAGTTCACGATCGTACCGATCCTGGTCGGCTCGCTGACGCCGGACAAGGAGGCGCTCTACGGCCGGCTCCTGGCGCCCTACCTGGCCGACCCAGCCAACCTGTTTGTGATCTCGTCCGACTTCTGCCACTGGGGCCAGCGGTTCCGATACGTGAACGGCGCCGACCGCGCCAACGGACACATACACGAGTTCATCCAGCAGCTCGACCGAGAGGTCAGTCACCGCCGCTAAACTGGATGGCAATGTGGGGTGTGACTGCTTCAGTCTCCGTGTCATCCTGTCAGTCTGTCCGCGCGGTCAGACTGTCAGCTTGCCACCGTGTAGCCATTCGGTTCAGGTGGACTCTGCCGGCTCTCAGTCCTTGTGTGCGACTTAGTGGTGCTCTGCCGGATCGCTCTGCCGGATATCGGGTCTTGCATTCGATTCTGTATGCCCCTGAGTATGTAGTACCGTCACGTCGGGTTTGCCTGATGGTCAATATCGACCGCCGGTCAGCGCACGGACTATCGGTGGCACCCCGGCCTGTCTCCGAATACAGGGGGATTGTGGGGTGGGGGGGGGGGGGGGGGGGGTGGGGGGGTATTGATCGCTGCACGGCGGCCCCGGATAATCCGCCGGGGCTCACCACTCGATACCCACCGGTCTAGACAGCGTTGTAGGTGGCTCGCCTTATTGCAATCACAGTTGCCTGCTGTTTTATTGTACGGATTATGGTTGTTCGGATTATTGCGATTGTTTGGACGATTGTGGTTGTTCGGATTGTTGTGATATGTTTGGACTGATGATGTTGCTCCAGCGTCTGACTGAGGTGTGTTGTGTGTCTGTATACAGGGTATGGACATTATCGAGTCGCTGGACCCGGTCAAGTTCACGCAGTACATCCAGCGGACAGGCAACACGATCTGCGGCAGGCACCCGATCGGCGTGCTGCTCAACGTGAGTTATCAACTGGTCTGTGAGATCGCACTGACCGCACACTGACCTGGACCTCACGTTGACCTGAGTTCGCACTGACTTTCACTGACCTGACGAACCCAACACTAACTGACTCAGACCTCCCTCTGAGCGCACACATACCTCATATGAGACAGCCTGGGCACTATCACTGACCCGAGACAGCCTAGACAGTATCACTGACCTCCTGGCCTGGACCTCACACTGACGTGACACGGAGGTCGCCTTGCCCTGTTTTCCTCCAACAAGTAGTTTCCGATTGTGAATCTCCGAATCGCACATATTCCCTGCATTTTACTAAAATAGCTTCGTGCTCGCCAATGTGTGTTCATTTCACCATCGGTTCTCACCAGTGTGTCCTCATTCCACCGCCCATTCTCACCAGTGTGCCTTCTTCCCACCAATCATTCTCACCAGTTTCATCAGTTCACCCGATCTCACCAGCGGCGCCCCTGTCCGTTCCCAGGCGGTGGCCAAGCTGAACGAGACGCCGAACGGGCACCGAATGAAGCTCAAGTTCCTCAAGTACGCCCAGTCGAGTCAGTGCCGCTCGCCCAGCGACTCCTCCGTCAGCTACGCGTCCGCGTCGCTCATCTTCGAATGACGCGGCGGGCCGGCGGCCGCGCCGCCGCCGCCGCCGCCGTCGCTCCGTGCCGCTCCGCCCCGCTCACCGCGCCGTCGCGTTTTGTACACGCCACCGCCGCTGCCCCGGGGTGACGCCGGCCACCGCGCCGCGCGCCAGCGCCGGACGCCCCGGTGACCCGCCACCAGTGCCGACCGACGGGGCCGCCTGCCGGCACCCGCAGCTATTTATCTCATCGATAGGGAGCGGCGCGTACCGTGCCGCGGGCCGGGACAGTGGGGCCGGGACGCGCCGCCCGCCCGCGCCGCCACCGCCGCGTGATAACGTCACTTTACCAGCCGGCGGCCGACCGATAGACAATACACACACTGTAATCAAACGGACTGCATAGAGTGCTGCCGCCCGCCCGTCCAGGAGGACGAGAGTGAGAGGATTTCGGTGGCAGGGGACGGTGCGAGGAACAAAGAGCGGAACAACCACTGTCGTCCAGAATCTCCTTTGCCTGGCATATGTCCGTCGGTAGCAGCACTGGACGTCCAGTGAGGAATTACAGTGAACACCATTATACATACATGTACGTAATGTGTGGTCGGCGTTTGGCAAACACCAGCAGAGGCCTGGCGCGGTTTATTGCGAACGTGCACCGACACTGAACCCGTGCTGCGCGCCATCACCGCACACACGGACCGCCCGGGCGGCTGTCGATCCAAACCCCGCCCCAGAGAGGCCGGCCGGTGCGGAGAGCGGTCTCCTCGGGCTTTCCCGGGCGACCGCCCCAATCGGCCGACCGACCGAAAACCAGGTGCAAGGTGTCCTCCCGGCGCCCAGAGGCAGACGCCAGGCTGTCACCAAGTATCACAGGAATAAATAGCTATAGGGGCGCAGCCGATCGCGCTGCCTGACCTGAACGTAGACACCCTCACAGGTTGACACGAACGCGGCGTGACTCGTGGCGTCCGCGGCCGCTCACCACTCACCAGACACCTACACTCCCCGCACACTCCAACACCGAGACCCATATCCGGTCAGGGGTCCTAAGTCCTAACTCCGGTCAGCAGTCCCTAACTCCGGTCACTGGAGTATAACTCCGGACACTACAATCACTGGGGCCTTTACTCTGCTCACTCCGAATCATCAGGGCTCATACTTGCCATATCGCGGTCGACTTGGTGCCCACACTCAGTCATGAAGACCTTTCGTTGTCTCTCCCTCAGTTTTTCCTTCCCCACATAGCCCAAAAGTCTCTCGGTGTTCGCCGGCCGTCCCTCCGTATAATATTCACTCCCACACAGAGAGAAGGACAGCGGCTGGCAGCGACAGTCCGATCACCGCGGCCTCCGGAAGAATACAACTAACGCCAGCAGCACGGCCAGCACCGTCATCAGGTAGATGTCCCAGTCGGGGCCGAGGAGCCTGTTCAGCGCCGACAGAGGCAGGTAGTCGCTCCAATCCGACTAGGGGACGGGCCGGAGACGGCGTTAGAATATGGGCGTTACAGAGCGCCGACAGGCAGACATGCACGCAGGTGGATACACGTGACACGACTAAATTACTGATACTTCACGCCATGCATCGCCAAAAGACTGGCGCCTCACACAGGTATATGACGGGACTGTAATCCAACGGGGCCGACCCAGCCTTACAGTAATTACTAGCCACCCAACAGCCCACAATAGATCCCCACAATTAATCATTAGAAGGCTATCACCTGCGAACCAGAAACAACCCTTCCGCATATCGGGCGATGGTGAATAAGCCCGGCGACTGGCGGGCAGTTAAACCAAACAACGGCTGAGCGTGTCACGCTGCCCTCCCCAACTCACCTCGTCTAGGAACCGGACCAAGAAGATGGCGCCCAGCTTGGTCATGGCCAGCGCCACGGGCACCTGGGCGTCCGGACTCGTCTCGGCGGCCATATCGTAGAAACGCTTCGCCAGGTGGATGTCCTGCCGGCCGTCAGGGAAAGGGTCAGATGTCGTACCACTGTGTAACATTACGAGAAAACGACGCAGTGCAAGGGGAGCAGCAGAGCTTGTCTTTTCAGTTTTTGGTTATAACTGCACTTCCTGGGTGTTGTTTAACTTAAATGTACAGCCCTCGTACCATGACTGCCAAAGACGCGGTGGGACGAGGATTGGTTATAGCGCCTCCGTTGTGGTTGTTTGATTTTTTTATGCACTTCAATCAAAAGTAAAATTTAACTTATCAGTCTAATTATTCAAACAATCGAGCTAAACTAATAAAAAGATTAAACGACAAAACATTCATAATTGCTCAATCATTAGACTTTATGATTAATCTAATGCACTTTGCATCTGTTATAAACTAGAAACTCATCATGAGATGTTTTGAATAACTGGAAGTGGAGTGTGCCGAAAAAAAAACGAAGCTGTAAAGGTCGTTTAGTTAGACCTTTTACCATGATTAAGCTCAAATAAAAACAAGTTCGTCTATGAATTCGGACATGCTGAGGGGTTGCCGCTACGCAGCGGCTGTGGTCTGTAAAGCTCTCAGGTAGGAGAGTGGATGGAACCGCTACGTACCCGCTGGATGCCGAGACCCTGCTCGTGCATGTAGCCCAGGTTGAACATGGCCTGCGCGTTCTGCTGCTGCTCGGACGCCATCCGGTAGTGGTCGGCAGCCGCCTCGTAGTCGACTGGGGTCCCTGGCGGGCGGGCGGAGCGACGGACCGTCAGAGAAAAAGGGCGGCGGACCGCAGCTGCATCAAGGCGCCGGCGCCGGCCGCCACCGATCAATGGTGGCACAGCACGCGCGGTCTATTTTGAAACACGTCTCGCAGTGGCTCACAGCAACCTACAACTAACATAATTAGCACGAAACAACAATCCTCTGTCGTGCCCTATTAAGCATTAAATGGCTGTCTGAACGGTAAACCTCCGCCTCCCCCGGTTCCTACGCACAGTACCACTCCGCTGAGTCAGCAGCTTCCGCCGCATCTCACTACATCCACAGGAAAGACAGAAAGACAGCATTCCTTACCATATCCGTAATAGTGATAGTCGCCGAGTTTGACGCGTGCAACGCCGTATCCCTGTGAGGCCGCGCGGCCCCAGCTGATCAGGGCGCGGGTGTAGCGCTCTTCTTCGGGGAACAGGCCGCTCGTCACACCTGGCGGGTACAAACACTGGTCAGCGGAGGAGATAGAAGCTGGTCATCGGACACAAACTCTGGTCAGCGGAGGATATAGAAGCTGGCGATTAGTAGGAACTCTGCTCTTACGACGGGAAACATGCAATGAATGTGGAGCGTGACACGTCGTTCTGATGTTCTGAGACAACACGACCCTACCAGTGAGCGACGGAGCCTTCCCGTGGTCTAATACCGTTCAGTTACCCGCCTCTTTGTCAAACAGCGCCAGGAAAGCTTCATAAAACACATAACCCACACACACACTACACAGTCCAGCAGAGCAACAGCAGACGCTCGTCCCCACCGCATCCCATTCCCTCCCACCTGTCCCAAAGGGGACAGCCTCCCCAGCCATCCCAGAGGAAACAGTCCCCTCCCACTTGTCCCACAGAGAACAGTCCCCTCCCACCTACTCCACAGAGGACAGCCGACGCCCCACGCACCCTTGTCGAGCAGGAAGGCGACATTGCTCTGCGCCGTTTCGTATCCCAGCTCGGAGAGCAGGTAGTACTTGGTGAGCGCCGCCGAGTAGCGATACGCCTTGTAGTCGGCGTGGGCCTCCATAAACAGCTCTGCCCAGCGGCCGCGCTCGGCCACGTTCTTGTACAGCTGAAGGGACGGGGAGCGGTCGGGTTAGGGCAAACAGTGCCGGCAGCGGCAGTCCGGCAGATGTGTGGAAGATCTGACTAAGGAAGCTATAGAAGATCATGATATGCATGTCTGGAAGACACAAATGATAATTTAGTTCAAACATGTTGCATGAGCATTGAGCATACGAGGTGTGGCTAAAAAGAAACCGGACTGCTCGTGCTGGCCGTAAAGTAGGGGGCCCGAAAACTAGCGAGACACTTGACATTAATATTTATCATATTGTCGTGATGTATGCCAAACGGCATCTCGATATCACTATTATTCTCCTTTCCACAGCTCTTTGTTTTATTGATGAATCTGACGCTGGTCACTCTGGTTTGGATGTCCTCGACCGATTCAAAATGGGTTCCCCTGACGACCTTTTTCATTTAAAGGAACAGCCAAAAGTCACAGTGAGGGAGGTCTGACATATAAGAGGGTGCTTGAGCACCGCGACCTGGTTTTTGGCAAAGAACTGCTTGACGCTAATGGCAGAATGCGCGGGAGCGTTGTCGTGATCGAGCACCCAGTTCTTGGCTTCCCAGAGTTTCCACTTGGTGCACCTGACTCGTGAAATGAGGCGTCCCGGGTCTTCCTTGTAGAAGTGCTGGTCGACTGTGGTACACCTCCAGCACGAACTGGCGGTGAACGAATCCCCTATGATCGAAAAAGACGATCAATGTCGTCTCCACCCTCGACTTCCGACATGCGCGCGAACGTTGATGGACCTCCAGACTTTGGGGTCATCACCGACATCCTCACGACCAGTGCTGAACCTCGTATGCCATTCAAACACTTGCATGTGACATATGACCTAACATAACACTAAAGCCTTAAACAGATTCAGCGTCTCCGGTCTCTGTTGAGTCTGGCAAGGAACGTGATGTTCCTTCTTTTTTCGAAGCTCGTTGTAGAAGCCTGCCGGTGACAAGGCCGCCGAACATCGATAAAACAAAGTGCTGTGGAAATGAGAATAATAGCGATATCGAGATGCCGTTTGGCACACATCACCACAATATGATAAAGATTAATGTCAAGTGTCTCGCTAGTCTTCGGGTCCCCTACTTTGTTGCCAGCACGAGCAGTCCGGTTTCTTTTTAGCCACACCTCGTATCAGCGGGGAGCCACCTGCCCACTGCCCAGCCCTTCCCCTACCCCAAAACACCCGCATACCAGTCTCGTTCCTCTATGCCGTCCCCTCTCACCATACACAACCTCCTCCATATCTGTTCATACCCGCCCTCTCACCTCGACGGCGGTCTGGCAGGCGCGTACCACGCCGGCACCCGACGCGTGCATCTGAGCCAGGTTATATATGGCGAGCACGTGGCCGCCCTGAGACGCCAGGTTGAAGTACTTGATGGCCATCTTGAAGTCGCGTGACACCCCCTGGCCGTCTGCGAATGGATGATAGGAGAAGACGCAAGGAATGGTCAGACGTTATTCCAATGAACTCAATCGATGAATGTATGATCAAATCGTCACCAGTACCACCACTTCGAACAACAAGAAAAGGTGTCCTCGGAGGACCGAGCTCATGGCGCGCGCACTCACTGAAGAACATGTTTCCGAGCTGCAGCTGTCCGTCCACCCAGCCCTGGTCGGCAGACAGCGCAAAGTACTTGACGGCGCGCTTGAAGTCCTGCGGCACGCCCTTGCCGTAGAGGTACATGAAGCCGAGACCGCTCTGTCCCACCGGGTTGCCGAGCTCGGCGGCGCGCTCGAAGTATTTGAGTGCCGTGGTGTTGTCCTGCTGCACCACGTCGTTACCCTCGAGGTACATCTGTAGGGAGAACAGACCGGAGAGGTGGTCAGTCTGTGGAGGTCCAGAAACAGCTGAGGGCGGGCAGGAGATGGCCGCAGGTGAAAGCAGCCAATGTATCAAAAGGCACCTGGCCGCTGACGGCTGAGTCCGTGGACACGCTGGCGAACTTAACGTCAAAAGCCTTATAACGTGTAAGGATACTTATCCGGGACCTAGCACATTGAAATTATGCTGAAGCGATTCACGCCACTTTATCGCATCTTTATTTCAAAACGAAACATAGAATCATCAACAACGTTGGGGCATAGCTGCAAGTGCAGACCCACTGTATACCTTTCCGAGGAAGGCCATGGCGTTGGGGTTGCCGGCGTCAGCGGCCTGCACGAAGTACTCGTAGGCCCGCTGGTGGTCCCTCTCGACACCCCGGCCGCCCTGGTAGTGCAGCTGGCCCAGGCCCACCTGTCGCCGAGGGACTCCGTCAGTTTTAGGGAACGGGAGAGACAGAGCAGATGAGACAGAGGATGAAGAGACAGAGGAGAGAGACAGAGGAGAGAGAGAGAGAGAGAGAGAGAGAGAGAGAGAGAGAGAGAGAGAGAGAGAGAGAGAGAGAGAGAGAGGGAGGGAGGGAGGGAGGGAGGGAGGGAGGGAGGGAGGGAGGGAGAGAGAGAGGGAGAGAGAGAGAGGGGACAGGAGAGACAGAGGACAGGAGAGACTGACAGGAGAGATAGAAGACAGAGGACAGGCGAGACAAATGACAGGCGACAACACTGAGCACAATGCTAAAAGTCGCAATTCATGGTGACTGTGTCATGACCCCATAAGATAGACCCCAGTATGTGTCATGACTGTGCATGGGCCCCGAAACCGTGGGATGTGCCATCCCACGGGCAGCCTTCGACGTCATAGGGCGCCCCCAGAGCACCGGCCGTCGGCGCGACACCTACCTGTGCCTGGACGTCTCCCTTGTCAGCCAGGAACTGGTAGTACTGGATCAGGTCCTCATCCAGGGTGGAACTGGACGAGCCGGTGCTCTCTGCCTCGTCATAGAGCCGCACACGAGACACGGTGCTGCCGCCCGACAGCGACACCTGGTCCGCCACTGGGGAACAGAAGAACACATCACAACAGATAAATCGACAAGCGAATGACGTACAGACTACTCGGCGCTTGGCAGACAAACACGGTTGGGTGACGCATATTCAACATGGTATTTACACTTAACGATAAGAGGGAGCACATCACACCTGCCTTTGTTGGTAAACACTAGTGGCAACTCATATGCAGATATAATCAAGCTAGAGTGCTCGTGCTCCCCTGTGAGTCGTGGTGAGGCGTCGTTCAACCCATGAAAATATCAGTTAACTTACAGATACACTGGCCTCACATGATCCATCTGACAGCCATGATCGCTGCCCTGCCCAGTGACCCTGACAGCCCTCCCCAAAGACCTCGCTACCCTGCCTGGTGAAGTGGTGACCCAAAAGACCTGACCGGTGACCCCACTGCCATTCCCAGCGACCCCACTGACCTGAGCCGCAGACCTTGCGGTAGTGAGTGAGCGCCGCCTCGCAGCTGGAGGCCGTGTTGATGCCGTAAAACTGGCGGTAAGCCAGCGCCATCTGACCCCATGAACTGCCGCCCAGTGCGGCGAACGTGTAGTGCAGCAGCGCTTTGGCCTGGCTCGAGCTGACGCCCAGACCCAGCGCGTACATGAAACCCATCGCCTGGGAGAGCGGGGATGGGGACGGTGAGAGCGGCTGGTCACGGGTGACGATAACAGAGATAAGGAGGACAGACACACTCGTTTGTAAGTTTTCAAAAACCTAGTGAGCCGATCAGCTCATAGTTTTGAACTACAAGGATAAAACTGTTCAACTACATTACTGCATTTGTCAACGACGTATGACTACATTTGTCAGCGGCGACCACCGTTCTCCCTTAAATTCAAAATCACAGTATTCGACACCAAACCAGTTCAAAGCGCCCCGTGCTGCACCGCCTGAGCCCACTGTTTCACACCGCTCGGACCCCCGTCTCCCACCGTCCGGCCCCCAGTTCCCGAACACTCGAGCCTACCGCCCTCACGGCTCACCACCCAGGCCCACCGCTCTCACCATCTGCGCCTCGGGGTTTCCACGGGCTGAGAGTCGCTCGAACGTCTCTTTGGCGGTGGTCACGTCCTGCGGTAGGTGGGAGCCGAGCAGGCGCGCCCAGGCCAGCCGTACGGCTGCCGCCGTGTGCCCCAGCCGCGCTGCCTCCTCCAGCAGCTGATAACTGCGTGCTCGGTCCGGCCGCGAGCGCGACAGCAGCTTCTCGCCAGTGGTGTACAGCTCCTCCGCTGCCGAGAGGAGTGCGGATGTTAGCAGACTAGGACAGACAAGTGGGGTACCGGGTAACTGTCATGTATGTACAGCAGGTCGGTATACATAGGTACGGTGACAGGCGGACTGACGTGCGCACCTTTTTGACAGGGCGACTCACCTTGCCTTTCCTGCTCTGTCATGGTCTCGTCATCCTTGCCGGCGTCGCTGGGTGGACTGCTCGGTTTGAAGTAGCTGTCTCCGATGCTCTTGAGCAGCGGTTCCTGGCCAGAGAGATCGGGCGCCTCCACCTCCCGTATGGCGTCGGCCGGGCCCTGCTGCTCGGGAGGCGGCAGCCGCGTGACGGTGCCGGTACCCAGCGGCTCCGGCGACTCCGGAGACTGACCACCGGCCGGCTGGCGTCCCGGCGAGCCGCGCGCCGCCCGCTCAGCGGTCTCCGGCGCAGGAGGCGCTCCCTCCGCTCCCTTGGACCGCGCGCCGGCCGGCTCCGCCTCGTCCACAACAGTCAGCTCCGAGCGGACCAGCACCATACCACCGGCGGACGAGGGAGCGGCCGCCGGCGGAGCGGCGTCCTCCGACTCGTCCGCCTCCTCAGCACCGGAGCCGAACTGCTGGCGCAGCTCCTCCGTGCCCGGCCGCTGCGCCAGACCAGCGGCCAGCAGCGCAGCCAGCAGCAGAAGCCAGGCCAGGCCTGACAGGCGCGTGGCGCCCCCCATCACTGAGCCCGACAGCTGTGAACACACATCAGTCAGGTAGACAATGGTATTTGTGTAGATTAATATCCTAAATTAGTATCTACTCTCATGAACTGAATCTGCAAAGATATTCTGCAGCATGGCTCAGCAATAAAACTCAACAGTTCACATCTAGGTCAGGATGTGTGTTCACCATATTGATATACCAACAACAAAAAATATCTGGAACTGGAACTGGCATGAGAAAAACACCTTGAGCGTACAGTGGCCACAGGATTAACAAAACCAAATAAAAGGTATTTGAAAAAAACAATATCAAGAATTATAATTGGTAACCATGGAAGTATATTGACTAATACACACACCTAACACCTACCTATCCTGCCATCTCATGCTTATTGACCAAATAACAGTGGGGTTTCTGATGACAAGTCACAAGATTCTGGCCCACTTGCAAAATTATCACAGCAATAACTTAAGATGCACTCTTTGGCATCTAATGGTTCATATTTAGTGTCTGGTGGGATCACACTTCAAATCACCCTCAAATGTAAGCAAAACATTCTGCTATCATTTCTTTGTTCTGCAAGTGGCCTCCCCTATGCATTTCAAAGGTTCCCTAAACTATGTTTCTCAGATTGTATAACTAAAAGCTTACTACTCATGATTGGCAATTAGTAACATTGAATTTGTTTTGAATAGAAACCATATTTTACATTAATGCTTGAGTATAATTTCTAACCCAAGTAAACTATACAAACTAACACATATTTTGAAGAGACAATACAATCTAACTACATGCACATTTTTGGACACACATAGCTCATCAGCAACCAGGTATAGAAACAACACTTTGTAATTGAATTGCAAAAAGTACCAAGAACAAGTAGAATTAGTAGAACAGCCGTCACACAAAAGTTTTTTAACCAGTGAGGCACTGTAGGTTTGTAGGTTGCATGTCATAGGTCAGGTAAGGTTAGGTTTGTTTTGGTTTGGTTCGAAAGAAGCATCTCTGTGTAAAGCACCTCTCCTTGATTGGAAAACCTTCGTGTGACGTCTGCTCAATTAATACTGAACAAGCATGGGATGATGGGTGCCACAAGCTTCTAAGTTCTAACTTCTATGCCTAAAAATCCTGAAAGATGAAGGTGAATGTAAGAATGTTTTCAAATATAATATAGATGCTGATTGAGCATGATCGATCAAATGTGTCATCTCAAGTTACATTTCAATTTGACTTGTTCTTGTAATGGTAAAGGGACACATATTTATATCAGTCTGTCTAATAACACGGAACAAAAATGATAGACGAACGCGTTTCGGCTAAATCACCGTCATCAGCGTCTAAAAGGAGAACGCTGATAGACGCTGATGACGGTGATTTAGCCGAAACGCGTTCGTCTATCATTTTTGTTCCGTGTTATTATACTTGTCTCAACTGAAATACATCAGTCTGTCGGTAACGGTGGGGCAGGCGTCACCAATAGATTTATGTTGTAAACAAACAAGGTTCATGCATTATTAAGGCCCGAACGCATATAACATTTACGCGAGATTACCCACAGTGCTCGGAGGCGTTGATGACGTCACTGGTGGCTAAAATAATTGGTATGCTCGATCTAAAAGCACTATTGATGCAGGGTTTTCTATTGATATGAGAACTTTTATTTGCAAAGCGGGAAATCACACGTGAAAAAGACTTTTGAGCTCTCTAACAAGATTGAGATCACGAGTTCGAATCCCATCGGCGGCAATAAATTGCCGTGCCCTTTATCGAGTTTTGCAATCCGTTATTAGATCGGGAGCTTGTTTTCACCGGCGAATTGGATAACCGTTGTCTCTGATGGCTGTGTCTGACCTAACCTAACCTAACCTAACCTAACCTAACCTAACCTAACCTACCTAACCTAACCCAACCTAACCTAACCTACTGATTTTGCCTACTGGGGTTAAGGAATAAGTTACTACCAGGAGTAGATTGCAGGTAATAGTAAGTCAAATATTTTAGGTTAAGTGGTTATGCACCAGGCTTCAGGCCTTCGGCCTGAAGCCAGATACACAACCACTTAACCTAAAATATTTGACTTACTATTGCCTGCAATCTCTCCCACAAGTAACATTGCCTACGGCAATGTACCTACTGTTACGTCACGTGTTTGACTTTTGTTTTGGATCTCGGAGGGGTCGGACGTGTCCATCGAGCTCCCGAGATTTCCATTTACCGTCCAGATTCTATCAGCCAATCACTTCCTTCCTGTGTGACCTTGGCATAGAGCGCGGCTTCGTAACGACGTGCAACTTGAGTTTTGGAAAGAAGCTTGTCCAGTTCAAAAGTATATCAAGATAAATTCCAAAAATATCTGTACGCTCAATCATGTCGATGACCCGAACTCCACCGCCAAAACTTCAAATGAGAACACGATCATCACTACAAGTGGATAACGCGCCACCATCGCCGCCGGGCGCGGGACGCCGTGAGGAAAACACGGAAGCGGGAAAACGTGGTGCTTCGACAAATGAAAGTGGAAGTGCAGGTAATGGTAAAGTGATCGGGCTGCAAAAAGGTGACAAGACCCCGGGCAAGGCCGGGGAGGCCCAGAGGGATTCAGGTGAGACAAATGACCCCATTTCTAACACAACCGCAACTAACCGCGAGGAGGCAAAAGGAAAAGAAGTAGGTAAACTGAATGCCAGTGTCTACACTCCATTTGGTAGCATGACGAGCATTAGCCGCTCTTCAAGCGACACAAGCGAGTCAACCAATGAATCTGCTACATGCCAGGGTGGCCCCGGAAAAGCCTTGTGCGGAATGCAGGTGTTGGATGGGGATAAAGCCGTCCAGTGCGACTGGTGTGAATCCTGGTATCACATCAAGTGCCAGGCTATTCCGAGGAAGGCCCACGATGCCCTTGTGAACTACAAATGTTTGTCATGGCTTTGCGATGCATGCAAAAAGCAGGGGCCTGGAACGGGGAACAGGACCGATCCCACTCAGTCACCAATCGGTAAGGCAGACGCACTGCAAAAACTAGAAACAAAAGTCCAACAGATGGCTGACTCAGTGCGCGAGCACATGAAGGTCATCGTTCAGTCCATCAAAGAACAGGAGAAAACTACCATGGATCACTCACACCTTCTTGAAAGAGTCTGTAAAGAGCAAAATGCCCAGAGGGAGTCTTACGCTGACATCGTTCGTGGAACATGCGAGAAGGTGGTGAAGGATGTGGGTGCAAAAATTGACATCCTTCCAACCCAGCCCAAGACTGACCACAATGGTCTATCTGAAACCACCAATGCTATGTCACGAGTGTTCGACAGCTTCATGGACAAAGAGAGAAGAAAACTAAATGTAGTGGTACATAACCTGCCAGAACAGGAAGGGGAGACGCTGTCTGAGAGAATGGAAAAGGACCTTCACCTCTTCAAAGAAGTAATCAAAGAAGGCATGAGCCTAGTCATCAGGCCAACTAAGGCATTCAGAGCTGGCAAAAGGAGTGACGAAAGGCCCCGGCTTCTCATTGTTTCTCTAGACAGCATTGATGCAAAAGCAGAGGTACTGAGGATGGCTCCACAACTCAGACACCTCTCAACATGGAAGAGGATCTATGTCACCCCTGATCTCTCAAAGAAAGACAGGGAAGAAGGAAAACGGCTCAGGGAGGAGTTGGCTGCTCGAAAGCTGGCAGGGGAGGAGCACCTGACTATCAGGAAGGGGAAGATAGTGAGGATGAACAACAATGAGGCTACTCATTCTCACCCAAACTCTTCGACTCACCCAGCACCCAACCCCAACCCCAGCTCAAGCACTTTGAAACAGGCTGACAGACCTGCGAACTCCCAGCCTAACCGAACAGAGTCAGCACGGCCACATGCTGACAGCAACCAAAATTGACTATATGGGTCGGGTATTAGTGATCAAGCAAAGCAAATCAAAGTCATTTATACTAATGCCGATCAGTTAATCAACAAGAGGGACGACCTGTCTATGGTAATTGCACAGAATGAGCCTGATGTCATTCTCATCACAGAAGTTGTTCCTAAGGCCCAGATTCTTCCTATTCACCCTGCTCTACTGGCCCTCCCCAAGTACAACATTTATGTAAATGTGGACCTGTCAAGACCCAATCTCGGGGCGAGTGGACAACGAGGTGTGTGCATATATGTAAAGGAGCACCTGCCATCTCATGAAGTAACTCTTCAAACGAACCCACCCACATCCATGGAGCAGATATGGATTATGATCGACCTTCGCAATGGGGACAAACTCTTGATTGGGTGTATTTACCTGAGTCCGTCCGGAGACAGACATCTGGGCATAACTGAGCTGGATAGAAGTCTGTCACTGGCTGGAAATTTGAGTCCTTCTCACATTCTGGTAGTCGGAGACTTCAACGTTCCACAGATTGACTGGGCGTCCTATTTCTCAGACGAGCCCCCTGGACATCATTCTCATGCACTGCTCTCATGTGTGCAAGACCATTTTCTTACCCAGCATGTCACTGCACCAACAAGGTATCGTTTAGGTCAAATCCCAAGTATGCTTGACCTCATCTTCACCAACGAGGAAGGGATGGTACAGGACTTGCAACACTCACCAGGTCTTGGCCTCAGTGACCATGTCATTCTGGAGTTCAGTCTGAAATGTTACACTACGAAAGGGATCCCAATCGGTCCCCATCTGAACTACAACAGAGCCAACTACAATCTACTGAGGAGTGTGCTCCAAGATGTGGACTGGACTGTGATGCATGATAGCAACGTGCATCGCGCCTACCACTATTTTGTGAGCTCCCTCAGAGAGGCAGTTGCTCGCACAGTGCCGGTGACGCACCACAGACCTAACAAGAACCTGTACATTGATAACCGAGCGCAGAGGCTCAGGCGTGAGAAAAGCCTGCTTTGGAATATGTATGCTCACACCAGGGACCCTGTGGACTACGCCAGGTACTGCCGATGCAGGAACAGACTGAGAAAGCTTACCAGAGAGCTGAGACGTACCTTTGAGTTCAGACTGTCAAAAGAGCTAAAGGACAACCCAAAGGCCTTCTGGAAATACTCCAACTCGAGACTCAAAACCAAGGTTGGCATCGACGCCTTGAGAGATGAGAACGGATTGGTAATCAGAGATGACGTCACAAAGGCTAGCATCCTGAACAAGTACTTTTCTTCGGTATTCACCAACGAGGATGCCTCTGTTATACCATCTCTAGCTCCACCTGGCCAGTCACTGAACCTTCGCGACCTGACGGTCACGGCCGACATGGTTAAACACAAGTTGATGCGACTCAAGAGCTCTAGCTCCCCAGGGCCAGACAGAATCCACCCTAGGGTCTTGATCGAGGCGGCTGCTCAGCTGGCGGTCCCACTATCCATCATCTACAACAAGTCCATTCAGTCTGGCTGTCTTCCAGACGACTGGAAGCTTGGCACCGTAGTACCTATTCTGAAGAAGGGGGACAGGCTGGACCCAGGCAATTATCGCCCAGTGAGCTTGACTGCAATTCCTTGCAAGGTACTTGAATCCCTGATCCGAGATCATCTCATGACTCACCTGGAAGAAGCCAACCTCCTATCGAACCACCAGCACGGCTTCAGACCACAGCGATCCTGCATGACCCAGCTTCTTGAAGTGCTGGATGAGTGGACCAAGTGCATAGAGAATGGCGAACCAGTTGATGCGGTGTATCTCGACTTCAGAAAGGCTTTTGACTCTGTGCCACACCTGAGACTCCTGAATAAACTCGAGGGATACGGTATCACAGGAAGGTTAAAGGGCTGGATTGCCTCCTTCCTATCGGACCGGCGTCAACAGGTGGTGATCAGAGGACACTGCTCGCCTTGGGTGCCTGTGACCAGTGGGGTTCCTCAAGGGTCAGTCCTCGGGCCAATGCTGTTCATCATATTTATCAATGACTTACCCGAATCCGTGCAGAGCTCCATCAAGGTCTTTGCAGATGATACCAAAATCTTCGGAACACCATCGTCCACTGGAACAAGCTCAATCCAGCGAGACATTGAAGAAGTGGCCAAGTGGTCGGAGAAGTGGCAACTGCCGTTCAATGAATCAAAGTGCAAGGTCCTTCATCTCGGCCCTAGGAATCCTGGGCACTCATACACCATGAATGGTCTCCAGCTGAATACGGTTGAAGTAGAGAAGGACCTGGGGGTTCAGCTGGATTCTGACCTGAAGTTTCGTAAGCAGGCCGCGTCTGCAGCTGCAAAGGGCAACCAAATGCTCGCACTGATAAAAAGATCGTTCATTTGCATTGATGCGACTACCCTGCCGATTCTCTTCAAAACGCTGGTACGACCCCATCTAGAATATGGGAACCTCATTTGGGGGCCCTTCAACCGAGCTGATCAGAGGCTGATTGAACGAGTGCAGCGGAGAGCAACCAAACTGGTCCGTGAGCTAAGACACTTGCCCTACCAGGAACGCCTCCGGCGACTCAAGCTCCCATCACTATATCACCGAAGACGGAGAGGAGACGTAATCGCCATCTTCCAGATTTTGACGGGAGGAGTCAACGTTCGGCCGGACCAGTTTTTCGAGCAGGCAGTCTCATCTGTCACCAGAGGACATGCTCTGAAGCTGCTGAAGCCTCAAGCTGCTTCAAGACCCAGGAGACACACTCTGTCGGTCCGCGCCATCAACGACTGGAATGCGCTTCCTGCCTCTGTGATCCTCTCTACGTCTGTCAATATCTTCAAAGCCCGTCTCGACTCTCACTGGGGTGATGCATCCTTTGACATCCCAGCCCAAGATTCATGACTGTCTCTAGTAAGGAGCTCGATGAGATCAGATCCCTACAGGCCTTATAGGCCTCAAAATTCTGTATTGGTAAGGTAAGGTAAGGTAAGGTGTTTAAGTCGAGCACGGGGAACTACATCGCGCCAGGGTATATCTAATAAAACTACGTTACTCCGCCGCCGAAAATAGACCTTCGATCTATAAAAGAATTTCAAAATATGTTAAATGCCCGGCTAATGCTTGCCGCCGAGCCGGTGGGGTTCGAACCGGCGATCTCAGTCTCATTTTAGAGCTCAAAATGTATTATCACGTGTGATCTTCCAGTTCCGCAAATCAAAGATCTCATATCGATAGAAAACCCTGCATCGATTCGATAGTATGCATAGATCGAACTGCCACCAGTGACGTCATCAACGTGTCCGAACATTGTGGGTAATCTCACGTAAATGTTTTATGCATTTGGGCCCTAATAATGCATCAACCTTGGCTGTTTACAACAGAAAGCTGTTGGTGACGCCTGCCCCACCGTTACCTCTGTCTGGCACAGGAATAAAGTGGAATAAAGTAAACCATTCCACAATCCACACTTCACAATCTAATTTGTCACATAATATTAACAATAAAATTAAAATGAAGATGAATGATTCTATTTGAGTGAGGTAGGTAGATAAGGAATTGGAAAGCAAATAAATAATATTGAAAATATCTACTGACCCCTATCGATGGGCGATGGATGGCTATAATTTGCTAACCTCCTGAAACCCAGGCCAAATGCCTCGTGGTGAGCAGCAGTAAAAATAATCCTCAAATAACTATCTATTCAAAACACGCAAAACTAACCATCTAATTTATGAAAACTCTGCAAAATGGTACTAATTATGTCTTAGCCTTATATTTGATTGTTGTTGATTCAGATTAGCTCTGTGGTTGATAATGCTGCGACCGAAAGCATGACGTAGACCAACTTTAAAATACTGCCAAAAATTATCATGAACAAATAGGCTGTTACTGGGTTGTGTTTGGCTATGAAAAGCTAGAAGTTTAAAGGAAAATCAAAACAAATTGTAATTCATGGTACAACAATAGCATGAAGGCTTTATTACAGTTTTAGACGCATGGTTCAAATGAACGTAATCTCAGATTACGTAACTGAGCAAGCAGTATCAACAAAAGATGATGCTTTTGAACATGTGTGCGCCATAAATGTAGCAAATATGATAAACAGCTTTTATTTGACTTGAAAAATTAAAGCATTTGATGACGTCAAGAGCTGTTCATCTTAAAAAAAGTGTTTTGTATAAATATCGTTTCATTTTTCTACTTTATCCATAGCTAAAAATAACTGTAAATTCTTCGAAATATCAAAGCCCAAAAATGTCAAATTTTGCTATTTAAATGCTTATCAATGGGAGTACCTGACTTGACTCGCTTAGAACTATTTTCCATATTCTGTTACGTAATAAGTGTCGAGGGCATTACAAGAAATGAAGCGTAGTTTGTTTGCACTGTCACCGCTTTGACTTTGCGGAGAGTGGCAGAGAGTTCCGTGTGCTATGCAGATTGGCGGTGCAAGTTGTGTCAGTAATCTTGATCTGCGTTGTATGTTGGTGTCGAGGCGTGCCGGCTCCACTGTTCTTTTGTAGACAGTTACAGGACATTTAACCTGTTTGTTTTTAGGTACCGGAAGATTTGAAGTGTGCATTTTCCAGCGTGTTTCAGTGAAATCAAAATGGATTAAAAAATTCACCTGTCCAAGTGGTACATTGAAAACGCATTCTTCCTGAGAACTCTGCATGTACAAGCTTCAAAACAAACATAACATGGAAAGATTGTATTTCTTTTTGTGCTTTGCGCTGATGTCAAGCAGTGTGCATTTTGTGTGTGGCAAAGAACAGTATTTTAGTATGGACGAATCATCCCACATTCTGCGGAAACGGAGTACTCTTCCAGAACATCCTGAGTATGCCATTCCTACTGCTGATGACAACATCACTTCTGTGGTGGGTATACAAGCTACAAAAGAAATACATTGCACATTTGTATTCTTTATATTTGTCTTTTTTAGTTATTCTGAAGGCTGAATGGAGGGGCAATAATCATGAACATTTTGATTTTACTTTAATCAACATGTCTTGATTTGTTGTAGAATAGTGGGTTGTTACTATTACCATTACTTTTACTTTTTTATACCATCAACTTTTTCAGTCTGATCATATGATGGCCTATATTGAGCGATCTGACCATGCACCACTCTGCCTGCCGCAGGTGGAGCTGAACGACACGCACCACTCGGGCCTGATCCACTGGGCTGGCGGCGGTTCTCAGCTGGTCATCTGTCTGACCCGCGACATGGTGGTGCGGCCCGGCCATCCGAGCAGCGTGTACGTCTCACTCGACCACGGCCGCTCGTTCACAAACATCTCGGGCAATTTCACGCTGGAGGACGGCACCCCGGCCGTCATCGGACACTCGTACGAGCACCCGGAGTTCAACAACATTGTGAGTACCCGGTCGTCCTGGACGCTGTGCATGCCGCTCGCGACTTTTACCCCTACACGGCTCAATGCGTATGATCCCTCGATACGTTTGATTCGCTTAGATAATAGATACTGCTGTTATTTGAAGTTAGAAGTGCGTCACCTATCGGTAAATTGTTATTCATTATCCTTCCCCAACTTCCCCTTATTCCCCACAACTTCGTCCCCAACTTAAACTTTTAACTTTTTGCATTTAACGAGTCAACCGTGGACGACGTGACGTTTTTACGTTTTTTTTTTTACGTTTTCTACGTTTTTAGGTTTTGAATCTATAAATTTTACAGTCATGCCATTTTTGGTAGTTACGCATGTCATTGCGCAGAACGAAGTTTTCTGAAAATGGAATTGCCCAAGTAGTAACAACCCGTACTGCTTCACCTAACCGGGCTCAATGATAAATATCAGACAAACTATGTCGTCATAAGATCACGACAAGTTAAAAATAAATAAACCAATGAGGTGAATGCGTTCAGAATTCAAAATGATATACCTAAGTAGGCAAAATCATGGTTTGTTTGCGTTATGTCGAACCCTAGCGTTTTGAGTGAATCAGTGTCGTCTGGTTACGAGCGATACTTTTCAACGTTTGGAGTGTTGTGGAACAGTTTTCCTTGTTTGTGTTCGCCTGCCATAGTGACGAGGTGTACAATTGGTGTCAGGTTACGGTATGCTTGCTGCACCCTCACGGCAGCGTGATAAGGGCGAAATTCGTCAACGCTGCCTGTCAGTAGTCCGTGGCTCTCAAGCTGGTGTGTGATGAATATCAGTAACGTATCCAAGCTGAGATGAGAAGGCGGCTATGTTTGGGAACCGGGTGTTGATTGAAAACAGACAAAGCCGCCCAGTAACTGGCTGTCAGGCATCTACGTTGTGAACTACGGTTTACTTGTTTATGAACCTGGACTGAGAAACGACCATGGATTGCAAAAGGTAACACATCATTGAGAAGCCGACACATTACCAATTTCCAGCTTGACATCTTTTTGGCCTGTGGGAACTTTTATCAGTGGCGGCCATGAAGGCAATTGCCGGTCCCGTAGCTCAGTTGGTAGAGCGTTGGACTCCGCGTGGTGAGAGCACGCGTTCCCGGTTACAACAGTCCGGGTTCGAAGCGCGACGGGCGCTTGACATTTATGGGCCTCCTGACAGGTATGGTTGCGGTTGGTGGCAGGCCGCAGCCAGGTGAAGTCAGTGAGGGGACCGGCCGTGCGCGGCTATGTGCGCACGTTAAACTTTGGACTCTAAATTCTGCCATAGAACTGGAATTGCGCGATCGGAGGGTAGAGGACAGGGTCACCGCAACAAGCTTCGCTTAGCGGTGGCTCTGTCCTTGTGAATCCTTCCCATCAAGAGGTTCGGACTAAATTTATAAAAAAAAAATTAAAAAAAATAGTTGACTGTTAATAGCTATTATAGTGACAATATTATCAGACGCAGACTTTGTCACTCCAAGGAGTCTGTATGCCAGACTGTTTGGTTTGCTCAGCAGCATTTATCAGGAAATCTGAAAGCGTAGTGGATATTTGCTTTGGGCTAGCTTCTTATTACAAATTCTGAATACCTATCGTGCTAGCTATAAGAGCCAACAGTTCCTTTGGGTCCGGTGGGAAGCTCCAAGCTCGTCAGTTTCCGTGGATGGGTGTTATTCAGTCTCTGCGGCGTGCTCTGTATCAGTTCAGCGAACCACGGCTGGCTGACTGCGGTCGGCAGTTGACGTCACTGTCACGTGACGTTACGGACAACGTGACGCTGAGTCACGGCGGGGGGGGGCGATCACGTGCTGTGCCGGCCGCGGGCGCTGACCTGCCGGGCGGGGATGTGTCATATGTCAGCAGTCTCGGTGTCAGATTGAGACTGACGTATCCCCTGTGGGTCGCCGGGGATAGGTATGTCAAGTCTCAGTACATGGAGATGTGTCATAGCCAGCCGTCTCGGTGGCGTATCTGATGTCCGGCGGTGCTTGTCGACTCCGGGTCCGTCAGACTGCATGGAGCCACTGACTGCTACCAGTCGTGGCCAGGTCGGTGGCGCCGATTACCTGCCGACGTAACCAGGCCAGCCCCCATCCCTCTCCATTGGCGGGGACGAGCAGGTGGTTCCGTACGGATGTGTTCCTGATGTGCGGGTGTGAGAGCGGTTAGATGGGGTGCTCCGTAGCTCGGCCCCGTTTCACTACCGGCCGGGTCGGTCCAATGCGGGCCAAAACCGAGCGGCCCCATCCGCAGGGTCCGATGACGTGGCGGATATCGGCCCCAGCGTCCCGTGACCCGACAATCGACACGGCATGACCTCTGCCGCTGGGGGGGGGGGGGGTCTGACCCCGTGACCCCGGCCGCTGGGGCGTCCAACCGCGTGACAGGCACAGCTGGCTCCCGGGAGTTCCTGTTTGTCAGATCTGCGGCTGCTGCAGTCCTGCTGAGCAGGCCTCTGGGTGTTCCCCGTTCCCCTCCGTCTGCTGAGCGGCCTATCACGCGCCACCCTGAGCAGCCTCTGTGCACCGAGGAAAAGGAGGAGCGAGTTGCGACTTGCTTGGAATAATTCTGATCCAACGTAGCTTATATCCCAGATAAACGTCATTCATATCTGACAGCTTGAGATGCGTATGTTTGGCATGATATGATATGGTTACGACCGTGATGATGCGTAATTGCGTATAGGTATGCATTTCATCCTCATCTTAGTACGAGTATACGCACTCCAAAGCATATGTTACATAACAGCTCTTTTGGTACGTTTTAGCGAGGAAGCGTGACGTCCATCGCACATAGTTTCATTGAACCGTACCTACTGCCTCGGCTAACATGTTAACTGGTGGGCCAAATGGCCCACCAGTGACCCGAAATGGCCCACCAGCCTCAAAGATTTGGCCCACCAGTAATTTTCCGAAAAATCGAAGTTTTCACATTTTACATCACGACGTAGGTAACATTGTGATACAGAGACAGAGGCCCTACTACATTGTTGCATTTATTAAAAGTAAGAACTTGATCGTCGTTGCCCGCCTAACACCATCACCATTCCCGGTTTCTTGAGACGGCCGTAGGTTAAGCCTACGTCACACTTCACCGGATTGGACCAATGGACGAGAAACGGACGGCGTCCGGTGATGTCCGGGGGATGTCCGTTCGTTTCCGTTGGACGTCCGTTTCTCATCCGTTAATATCTGTTCCATGTCCGGTGGTGTCCGGCGTGCTCAACCGGACACCACCGGACATGGAACGGATATTAACGGATGACAAACGGACGTCCAACGGAAACAAACGGACATCACCGGACACTGACAGTTCTCGTCCGTTTCTTGTCCGTTGGTCCAATCCGTTTAAGTGTGACCGAGGATTTAAATTTTATGCAATAATCGTGAAAGACGTTTGCCTCTGTCAATTACAGATAGTGTCGGCGGCTTCCAGCCGATCGAGGTCTGCGAGAGTTCTTGCAAGCTTTCCGATCGATCGAGTGGTTACAGTCACATAAGCATCTGCCGCAGACCAGTCGGTTACAAGAAAAACTACGAATAAAGAACAGACCAGTTCAGACGGTAGGGGATAAGCCTGCGAGCGATCTCAGACCGCTCGCCGATAGACACGATATAAGCCAGAGTCAAACTAGAGGTAGTGTCGGCAACTTCCAGCCGATTGAAGTCTGCAAGCGATATTACGTCTTCACGAACGGTATGATGCTTGCAGTCGCACATCTGAGTTCTGACCAGTTGGACGAATTTCGAACCGTTCACAGTCAGCGTTCCAAAAATTTCTCATTTGGGCTGAAGATGACACTCAAGAATAAGAATGGATATTTTTCCACTCTCACATTTTGGGTGGCTAGAATTTTCCACTCAGACACCCAAGAGAAATCTGAAGTTTGGGACTATTACCGGGGTTACATGAGCAAGTAAATGCGTATCAGGAACGGATTTTCCTATTCGCTCACCATTGTAGTCCGTTTGTAATGCGTATTAACTCTGCTCATGTAACCCCGAGCACTGTTCACCAGAAGTGTACATAACTTAGTTTTTTTTTTTAAAGAAAATATGTATTAGGGTTGCGCAGTGCGCTTGGGCTTTTGAGTGAATTCTTTTCCATGTGACACCAATAGGCTTAATGATCATTTTCAGAGATGTTGGAGTTGCTGCTACAACCCCCTTTTAGGGTTCCTGCTACAACCCACTTTATATATAAAGTGCTGTTCACAATTCCGAATTGTGGCCTCCCGATCCACCCGAAAACGCCCGATCCCGTCCGACCGCTTCCGAATCTCCGACTAGTCGGCGAGCGATCCATTCAGGGCTCGCTGATTTTTAACATCCGACCGGCCGTAAGTTATCGTCCAAAGTTTTATAATCTGCGTCAATATTTTGTGCATACTTGTGCGATTTTATGTGCACCGCCGGAGTATCACCACTGAGAGGGTTGTGGGTCCCTACTCTCCTTCTCTCTCTGAAGAGTCGGGGGGGGGGGGTCGAGCCCCGTTTTTTTACATTTTTAATGCCATCCTGACGTTTTTTGCAGAATAAAGTGGCCGAAATCTGGGGAGAAATCGAAAATAGGGGGGGGGGGGCTATGGCTACGAAGGTCAGTCCATGTCGCTGCCCAAGTGGCCCACCAGTCAAAATTCCTTAGCCGAGGCCCTGCCTACTGCCAAACCGCGGACGCTGTGGCATGCCGGTCCCATTTGCTGCTTTGAGCCTTTGTCGGTGATTGAGGTGGTCCCGGAACCGTGTCGATTTCCACGGGGTCATAGGTCCCCCGACGCCGGTCAAAGTCCCCTACACTCACCATCACGAGTGAAAGCCGAGACGACATTTCCGAGGTGTTATGTTTCGACAAACTCTCCTAGGGAAGGTCTGAAACTGGATAGTGAACACGTCACACGCCATGGCTATTTGAATCGGCGCTTACTCGCTATACACTCAGGTGGTAAGTGCTTCATGGCCTGAGAGGCCACCACTACCAAAATTCGATACCT